GGTGAATACACTCGGTGGGCCCCACTTATTCAAATGACCATTCCTCTAGAATGAGATGGAAGCTACTCTCAACATTTCCTGTATTCAGATTGCCCAACATGTGTTGAGTTGCCAGTGCCTGGCTGTGAGGGATATAAAGAACTATCCAGGAATTTAGTGTTTGATTGAACATATATAAAATAACTGAATTCTCCAACAGTTCTATAAAATAGTAATTATTTCCATTTTTACAGGCAAAGTAACAGGCATGGAGATTAAATCTCACAGTTAGTGTTGATGGTGCTTGGATATGAACACAGATATGTATGGTCCTCACTCTCCCTCCTTTTTCACAGAGGATCCAGGGAAGATCCTATGGAAGAGATAGGGTGTGAAGAAGCTGTAGGATTTGGCTTGGAACAGGAAATAGGATAAAAGAATAGAGGCTGCTGGCACAGTGGCTCAAGAGGGAGGCTGAGACAGGAGGATCAGTTGAGCCCAGGAGTTTGGGGCTACAGTGAGCTACAGTCACACCACTGTAATCCAGCCTGGGTGACAGAGGAAGAAAAAATAGAATAAAGGCCATATGATCATGGTGCCTAAAGTGCAGTAAGCCCAATGAGAGGGATATAGCTGGCCAAGTGGGGCCAGGAGGTATAGAACTGACCAGCCAGGCAGTTGGTACCATTGTCAGTTCCTGTGTATACAAGGGGAAGTGAATTGATGCCTTGGTGAATTTGGCAGGAACATAGAGGCTGAATTGGTGGAAGGAACACTTGGAAGCAAGGTGATCAATTTAGAAATCTGTTTCAAAAGTCTAGGTGTGAGGTGAGGAGCCTCTGGTTAGGAGAGAGATGGAGTGGTAATAGGAACGGATTTGAATCCAAGACAGAAGATGAAGGACAGGGAAGAAAATTGGAACCCTGGTTCTATAAGTTATACCTCAAAACAAGTGTGTGGTAAATTTGTTTGGAAACTAAAACATATTTTATAACCCCTTGCCTTGAGACTGAAGGTGAAGATTAGCATGTTAGGGACTCCCAAGAATTCTGCAGGAAACCCATTTACCTACTTGGTTCATTCAGCTGTTACTGTATTGGCTGCCTTCTGGAATCCTCTGTTAATGAACATGGAAATGGCATCTCCAGGAGCACTCTTGGGAAGCGCTGCTCTAAGGTTTGAGCCTGGTAGGGAGTTTGATGGTGAACAAGGTAGAAGACTCAGCATTTTGTTGGAGCCGTCATTCATGTACTGGTCAGAGACTTCACTGAAAGGAACAAGAAGCTATTAGAAGCTTGGGAAAGGGAAAAGAACCAATTATATCTGGGACTAGCCCTTCTTTCATATGTGTTCTTTTTTTTTTTTTTTTTTTTTTTTTTAAAGACAGAGTTTTGCTCTTGTTGCCCAGGCTGGAGTGCAATGGCACAATCTCGGCTCACTGCAACCTCTGCCTCCCAGGTTCAAGCGATTTCTCCTGCCTCAGCCTCCCGAGTAACTGAGATTACAGGCACCCACCACCACACCTGGCTAATTTTTTTGTATTTTTAGTAGAGACAGGGTTTCACCATGTTGGCCAGGCTGGTCTCAAACTCCTGGCCTCAAGTGAGCCTCCCACCTCAGCCTCCCAAAGTGCTGGGATGACAGGCGTGGGCCACTGCACCTGGCAGTGTGTTCTCATTTAATCCAAATGTGCAAGAACCCATGGAGAGCCTTTGTCTTTTTAAGCTATGTTTCAGCCCCAGGCCTCAGGGACATACCTGGCCTCTCCTCTTTTCAAGCCCCCACTGCCTGCCACTCTGATTCTTGGGTCCTTGCTGTAAGATAGCAAAGCGTTAACTTTGGGTTCAAATGAATCCAGGGTTGGATCCTAGTTCTGTCACTTGTAAGTGCTCATGGGAGGTCAGTTAAAACCACCAAACCTCACTTTTATGGACCTATACAATAGAAATAATTCACATCCTCATAGGTTTATTGTGAAGATTAAATGAAATGCAAATTAAAGTACCTTATCATAGTGCTTGGCACAGAGGTTTTTCAATAAGTGGTAGTTATTATTACAGGTAAGATAAAGTTTGGTTGCAGATTTCTTTGCTAGCCCTGGAGATGAGCATATAAGCCCTTTTAAGAGTCAGTTACTAGGCCGGGCGCGGTGGCTCAAGCCTGTAATCCCAGCACTTTGGGAGGCCGAGACGGGCGGATCACGAGGTCAGGAGATCGAGACCATCCTGGCTAACACGGTGAAACCCCGTCTCTAGTAAAAAATACAAAACACTAGCTGGGTGAGGTGGCGGGGGCCTGTAGTCCCAGCTACTCGGGAGGCTGAGGCAGGAGAATGGCATAAACCCAGGAGGCGGAGCTTGCAGTGAGCTGAGATCCGGCCACTGCACTCCAGCCTGGGCCACAAAGCGAGACTGTCTCAAAAAAAAAAAAAAAAAAAAAAGAGTCAGTTACTAATGTTTACAAGGAAAGAGAAGGATAACAAAAATAAACACTGAACATTTCAGCAAACATTCCTTGAGCACCTGTCTTGTGCCAGGCACTCTTCAGGCCCTAGCAATGTAGCTTTCAGATAAGTCAAGGCCCCTGCTGTCAGTCTAGTGTAGAAAAACAGACCAATGAGAAACCCATCTGGTAGTGACAGGGCTATAATTAAATCAAAAGGTTGATGTGAGGTGGTGACTGGGAGAAACTTATGGTTGGGTGGTCAAGAAAAGGCCTCTCCAGAGGTTACAGTGAGCTGAGATGGCTCCATTGCACTCCAGCCTGGGCAACAGAGCCAGACTTTGTCTCAAAAAAAGAAGAAGAAAAGAAAAGGCCTCTCTATGGCAGTAACATTTGACACCCAAACAATAAGGAACTACAGAAAGAACATTCCAGACAGCGGGAACAGTGAGTGCATGAGTGCACAGTGAGAAAAAGAGCTTTGTTTTTAGAGAACAGTAAGAAGGTCAGTGTAATAAAAGGTAAGAGATGAGATCTGCAGGACCTTGAGGGCCTTGCAGGCCAAAGGAAGTAGTTTAGAGTGTATTTAAGTGCTTTAGGTGCCATTGGAAGGTTTTAAGCAGTGGCAGCAGTATGTTTGTTGTTTTTAATTTTGAGTTTTTTTTGTTTTTTTTTTTTTGAGACAGGGTCTTACTCTGTCACCCAGGCTGGAGTGCAGTCATGGCTCCCCACAGCCTTAACTTCCCTGGCTCAGGTGATCTTCCCACCTCAGCCTTCCAAGTAACTGGGACCACAGGTACATCCCACCATGCCCACTTAATTTTCGTATTTTTTTTGCAGAGACAGTGTTTTGCCATGTTGCCCCGGCTGGTCTCTAACTCCCAGGCTCAAGCGATCCTTCCACCTTGGCCTTCCAAAGTGCTGGGATTGCAGGCATGAGCCACCACCCCCAGCCAGGAGCATGGGTTTTTTTTTTGTTTTATTTTTGTTTTTGAGACGGAGTCTCACTCTGTCACCCAGGCTGGATGCAATGGTGCAATCTTGGCTCACTGCAGCCTCTGCCTCCTATGTTCAAGCAGTTCGCTGCCTCAGTCTCCTGAGTAGTTGGAACTACGGGCGTGCACCACCACACGTGGCTAATTTTTGTATTTTTAGTAGAGACGGAGTTTCACCACGTTACCCAGGCTGGTCTTGAACTTCTGACCTCAAGTGATCTGCCCACCTCACCCTCCCAGAGTGCTGGAATTACAGGCATGAGCCACCGCGCCTGGCCAGGAGTATGTTTTATATTTGAAAAATACCAGTATTGCTGGGTACAGTGACTCACGCCTATAATTTCAGCACTTTGAGAGGCTGAGGAGGGTGGATCACAAGGTCAGGAGTTTGAGACCAGCCTGGCCAACACAGTGAAACCCCGTCTCAACTAAAAATACAAAAATTAGCTGGGCATGGTGGCGGACGCCTGTAATCCCAGCTACTTGGGAAGCTGAGGCAGGAGAATCGCTTGAACCCAGGAGACGGAGGTTGCAGTGAGCTGAGATCGCACCATTGCACTCCAGCCTGAGCGACAGAGCAAGACTCTGACTCAAAAAAAAAAAAGAAAAGAAAGATAAAAAATACCAGTATTTTTGCTGTGCACAGAAAAATTTAAAAAACACTTTACAAGGTTTCTTAAGTTTTTTAGAATTGACATCCTTGGCCTAATGTCTTGATTCTTTTCTGGAGATGGTATGTAGTAGCCCCTTGAAGATGCACTTTATGTCCTGAGGAACTCACCACACTTCCGTTTCTCCCCTTCACACAAAGCCCAAAGGTATTCCCCTTGAACCCTTCCTTCAAAATGGCCTTTCCTCAGCTCCTGGCCTGACAAGTTTATGAAAGCAAAATAATAGGATTAGAAATGCCTTCAACATGGACCTTGTCTTGAAATACAGACTGGCTAAAGAAGCCTGGAAGTAAATGACTTCAAGCTGGGTGGGCAAACCAGTGCTGCATCTGTGTTTTGTTTGCTGGGCACAACTTTTTTTTCAGTTCATTTATTGGGTATTTTAAGAAAAATTTATTCAAGTACCACACACACACACACACACACACCCGCCTTTAGATGGGTCATGCATTCCAGTTTCACATAGGCCTCACTGCTTTTTATTGCCTTAGGTCCAACCCCAGTTTATACATTTGTGTCACCTGTCTAGGCTCCTGTATGCCTTTCAGTATTTAATGATTACCAAGTGTACATGCCTTAAATAGAAAGCAGGAGTGACAACAGTTACTATCCATGCAAATGAAAATATTGAATCCTATTTTCCAGTGTTGAAAAAAAGGCTTGCATGAGGCAGGAAGATCAGTATCAGGAGGAAGACTGCAGAAAGGCTGCGGGAGGCTGGGATTTCATAAGTGAGGCTCCTTCGTGGAACAGTTACAAAATAGTTAAGTAGAAGCCAGGGAAATTTCACTTGAATGTGGGGAAACTAACTTCCAGGAGCAGTGATGTAAAGTGCTCTCCACCCCCGGTAGTGCAGGGTCAGGAGGGGTTAGCCAGCCCAGCAAGTCTCAGCCTCCTCTTTTCACATTGGTAGGTTGTCTCCAAACACCATGGTGACACCTCACAAGAAGAGCATGCTGGGAAATGGCAACTACGATGTGAATGTCATTATGGCAGCACTTCAGACCAAAGGCTATGAAGCTGTTTGGTGGGACAAGCGCAGGTAATCTGAATCAGGCTTGACTTGATGGAGAACAGCACGGTTGTGGTATAAGCTTTTAGTACTTGGGCTCATGGCATGAGTGGGGAGGTAGCCATTTGTGGTATTACAGCCAGGGAACCTTGGGAAGTGTGCTGCCTCAGAGTCTGCCACCATTTCTCCCCTGCAGGGATGTCGGTGTCATTGCCCTCACTAATGTCATGGGCTTCATCATGAATCTGCCCTCCAGCCTATGCTGGGGTCCAGTGAAACTGCCCCTCAAAAGGCAGCACTGGATCTGTGTCCGAGAGGTGGGAGGGGCCTACTACAACCTCGACTCCAAACTCAAGATGCCCGAGTGGATTGGAGGCGAGAGTGATCTCAGGTAATCAGCACCTGTTGTGACTAAGGCGCTAGGCTGCTTCATTTCTTATGTTGGGGACACTGAGCTCATCTCTGGTTATTTAACAAAGGAAATGAAATTCCTGTGCCCTTGGGTTCTCTCCCTGCCTTACTTAGAATCATAGAATCATAGTGTCTTGGACCTGACCCTAATCTTCCATGGCCCATCAGTACTTTTAAGTCCTTTTGGTAGGGAAGATGCACAGCCTGAGATACCAACCTTCTGGTCTGGTGGGGCTGGCATTGTAATGTTCTCTCCATTTAAGACAACTGAGACAGTAGTTGCCAGTTCATAGAAAGGAAGACAGACATTCAGGCCAAGGAGGACTGAATTTCCCTAGGACCACAGAACATTTATAAAAATCCTTTAGAGGTGGTGGCTCACGCCTGTAATCCCAGCACTTTGGGAGGCCAAGGTGGGTGGATCACCTGAGGTCAGGAGTTCGAGACCAGTCTTGCCAACATGGTGAAACTCCGTCTCTACTAAAAATACAAAAATTAGCCAGGCGTGGTGGCGGGTGCCTATAATCCCAGCTGGTCAGGAGACTGAGGCAGGAGAATCACTTGAACCCAGAAGGCAGATATTGCAGTGAGCCAAGATCATGCCATTGCACTGCAGCCCAGGCAACAAGAGCAAAACTCCGTCTCCAGACAAACCAACCAAAAAAAGTCCTTTATAGTACTTTGGGTACTGTTATTCACAGATCCAGCTACTGTTGGCAGTAACTATAAGGATGAGCAAAAATTCAGGTTGGAATTTTAAGTGGAAAGATTGGAGGGCAACCAAACGTGGACCCCTCCAAAACCAGATGATTACAGGAATGTGTTTTGGGCCGCCACGGGTATAGTGAGGTTTCAGGTGACTTTGTGGTCCTGAGACTGGAATTTGCAACTTGACAGTATTTCATTTTTTCTGTCTTTCCATAGGAAGTTTCTAAAACATCATTTGCGAGGAAAGAACTGTGAACTCCTGCTGGTGGTACCAGAAGAGGTAGAGGCTCATCAGAGTTGGAGGACTGACGTGTAGCAGTTCTCCCCAACCTCCCTCTCACCTCAGCCCCCTCAGTCCTCTGTGATGTGCTGTGGCCTCTACAGTGGGTCTGCCCTTCCCACTTCCCCAAACATCTCATCGGGTTTTTCCCCTTCAGATCTGACAGTGCAATAGGACAGACGTGTGGACTGTTGTAAGAACTACCCCATGTTTTGTTCCTGGGCAAGGAAGGTAGGAGCTCTGTGCACTCAAGGCCAGCAGTCACAAACCCTTGTTTTATTTAAGAGAGGAGAAAGTGGAGCGGGGAGGGAATCCTAGCTTATTTTCCCTTTTCTATGAGGACTTGACATAGGTTCTGCTGAGTTGTCACTGCTGCTCCACACTCACCTAGAGATGCTGCCTCCACTTTCCGTCCTGTCTGGGTCTGAAAACAGTGGGTCTGAAGATAGTGCACACAAAGCCCATGTGACTGGTTTGAAGGACCCAGAGCATAAAGGTCTCTCAGGAAACCATGTCCAGAACCCTAGCAGCGGTACAGTGAGCTGTCTCCAACCCTTATCCCCGGGTTTAAGGGTGGTTTATGGCCACACATGGAGGATTTTTGTTGTTGTTGTTGTTTTTTGAGATTTGAGTTTCACTCTTGTTGCCCAGGCTGGAGTGCAATGGCACGATCTCGGCTCACTGCAACCTCCACCTCCTGGTTCAAGCAATTTTCCTGCCTCAGCTTTCCGAGTAGCTGGGATTACAGGTGCCTGCCACCACACCCGGCTAATTTTGTATTTTTAGTAGAGACAGGGTTTCTCCATGTTGGTCAGGCTGGTCTCAAACTCCCGACCTCAGGTGATCTGCCTGCCTTGGCCTCCCAAAGTGCTGGGATTACAGGCATGAGCCACCACACCCGGCAGAGTTTTATAATGAAAACTTAATTAATGTTCTATGCTAATATTCCAGTATGAAGTAAGATACTGAACAGGATGTGGCTAAAGCCAAACTGGGACAGCCACGGGGTGGCTTGGTTTCTTCACTCCAGTGTTGTCCCTACCATTTCGCAACATTGATTTAGGAGGCTCTGGGACAAAAGAGAAGCCAAAGAGCAGTTTTCCCAGTTTACTTACTCTGGCAAAATCAGAAAAAAAAAGTCTGCCTTTGACATCAAATTCCACTAATTTGGGGCAGAGTTGGGTGAGGAAAGTATTGTGAAGATAAGCTGCTTGGAATAGGGACAGCCAGAATTCAGTAGACGCTCTAGGCTCAGAGGCTGCCACTATAGTGCCAAGCTCCGGTTGGGTGGTTCTGTACTGTATGGATGGAATAGGACCTGGGTTGGTCATCTTTATGTCATTTCCTTTATGTATCAATGGAAGTTCAACCTGCCCCTACCTCTTGAAATAGTTGTAGGCCACTATTCTCTTGTAACTTTGGAAAACAAAAGAGGAGAAATAAGTATACCACACGCGTGTCTCCAGAGTGGATATGGTTGCCTCAAGGCAGGTGGGCAGGCAGGGGTGACCCGCTGGCCCTCAGATCAGTGATCTCAGTGGGTCTGAGAGCTGCCCCCCTGGCCAGACTTTTCTCCAGCAGCAAAGCCATCCTGGGGCTTGCATGTTGATCCTGAGCAAGCTTAACGGGGTGAAGCTGAGGCTTTCTCCCCCTGTGACTGGAGTGCATGTTGACACCAGCACTTTTTCTGCACATGTATCTTCAATCCAACAAGGCCATTTTTTTTATGCTGAGTAACAGGCCACCAAGCGGCTACTGCATTATGTCTTCTCAGCAACCGGCCGCAGTCTCTTCTGCACCATTTTCTACACCAGACCTGCTTGGCACCACAGGGAGCTCTTTCCCCACCCTGTACAATGACATTCCAACCACCACCAGCCAGACGTTACAGCCAACCTTGCTGATTGTCACAAGCAGGACCTTGGGGCCACTGGCACTGTCAGAAATAGTAAGCCATTTCTTGGGAAGAGGAGGAAACTCCTCTCCACAAATCTGCTTGGGCCTGTGCAAATGGCACTTCAAAGAGTCCCCATGCACTTGGAGTCCGTGAGCCAACGGGATATGCAAGGACGCTTAAACATTTCAGGGCTGGTTTCTCTGTTCATATCCAATCCTGGTGCTTAGGAACAGGGACCCATGCTGATGCCTAAGGGCAAAAAGCCCCACTTCCTTTAAGGAAGTGAACAGGCCTGACCCTGATGCCCAGTAACGGGCAACCCTAGGCTTTTTGTTTTTCTTGCTTTTATTCCTTTTTGTTGTTGGCCTTGTGCTGGGTTTGTTTACAGAAGATGTATTTTGTTTAACCAAATATTAAAAATGGAAAACTCCGTGTATGTCTCCTTGTCTGCCTGAGTTCTATAATTGTGTAAAGAAAAATAAACTTAAGTATGATGCTGTTTTAAAAGGAATTCATTGCCAGCATAAGTCATCTTTTAGAGACATCATGCTTTGATTAAATCTTTCACCTGAGAAATTCAGACAAAATACTCACTGAAAAGGGATTTGGTTCAAAAGATGTCCCCAAGACATTTTTCAGTACAACTAATCTTGACAGTTTGAATAATCCATGTAAGTACAAGTTTGTACCACACTGGTGACTAGTGTTTTTCCCTAGTTAACAAGTGAAAGATCATACATCTGCCCAGCGGGCCTGGGCCCAGCCTCACTTATCCCGAGCACACAGCAGCAGTGTTCTGTAGTTGGATTGCCCGGATTTGAATCCAGGTCTAGCACTTAACTCTGTGGCCTTGAGCAATTACCTTTCTGTGGCTGTTTCCACTTCCGTAAAATGGGAACAATACCACCGAAATTGTAGTGTTGGTTTATCTAATAAATAATTCACATAAAAGGTTTACTCTGGCCGGGCGTGGTAGGTGACGCCTGTAATCCCAGCACTTTGAGAGGTCGGAGGCGGGTGGATGGCTAGAACTCAGGAGTTCAAGACCAGCTAGGGCAACATGGCAAAACCCTGACTACCAAAAATACAAGAAACTAGCTGGGCATGGTGGGCGTGTACCTGGTAGTCCTAGCTACCCAGGAGGCCAAGTTGGGAGTATCACCTGACTCTGGGAGGTAGAGGTTGCAATGAACCCAAATGACACCACCTGTACTCCAGTTAGACCTGGTCTCAGGCAAAAAAATTCTGTCCCCCTTCCCTATTCCCCAGAAATCAGTATTATGTTATTCCCCACAAATACTTTATAAATTACACAGTGTCATAGACTAAAGTAGTACATAGACCCAATCCTTTGTTTTAGGCTGCTGGATCTCAAAGTGACTGCCTAAATTCAGGGCAAAGATTGCTATGAAGTACTTGGCTAAAAATGAATTTTTTCACTTTTGGAAACAATTTGGGCCTATGGGTGTTAAGACGGAGGTGCTGCTGGTTTAGATGAGAAAATGTGAGGGGCAGTACGTGTCTGTGACCTGGTCTCGTTTCAAGGTACTTAGGATGACACTTTCAGATGGAATCATTTTTAATATTTAAATACAAAAAGTGAGCACTGACTTCTGTTTTTTTAAACACACACACAGGTCTAACAACCAAACTGTGCAGGGGAAATGAACTCCTGTCTTCCACAGTCCCCATTCTGTGGCTGAAGCTGCAGCCAGCCTCCCTCCTCTCATACATAGGGATTCATAGTGGCCGCTTTACACTACAGGTGTAATGCATGTTGTCTTTCACATTGCATGCATGTCCCTCCCTAACAGCTCCATTCTTTAAAAAAAAATTTTTTTAAATAAAAAAGGCAGTCGTTAATGGTCAGGGGCACATCCCTCCCACTGGCATCGGTTCCTACCCACAAGGGGAAAGTGACATCTTCCAGTTAGGAGCAATTTGGTGAAAGGAGTGGGGTGGCCAGAGCAGGAATAACCGTCTGCGTGGCTGCACTCTGGTATCAGAGTGAAGACAGAAGTAAGGATAGTGTGGAGGGCACAGTTGCCAGTTGAGTCTTTCCATGAGACAATGTGAGGAGAATCCTCCCCACCAGGTTTAGATAGATCAATGTGCCAAAGTTAAAAAAAAAAAAAAAAATCCAAATAATCAGCAGTTCAAACACTTGAATTTCAAACTTATCCCACCGAGACAGCTCAAACAGCAGTAACAATCTAGATCTTTCCAGGAAGTGAGGGTAGAGCCCCTGGCATTCCTCCTGAGAGCCCTGTGTTAGGCCCTAGAAGTATCTGGAAAAGAAAAGGAAAGGTGTAAGGCATCATTCAGGCCTAGAGAACTTATTCTCACCATACCTGATGGGGCCAATGTCTACAGAAATAATACTGAAAGCACCATCAGACACTGAAAAGAGCATGGGCCCAATCCCAATCCCCACCCACACATTAACTGTTGGTCAACCCAGGTGCTAGAACAGGAGTCCCCAACCCCTGGGCCGTGGATTGGCCCTGGCCCATGACCTGTTAGGAGCCGAGCCACACAGCAGCAGGTGAGCAGCAGGAAAGTGAGAGAAGCTTCATCTGTGTATAGTGCTGTTCCCCACTGCTCACATTACTGCCTGAGCTCCACCTCCTGTCAGGTCAGCAGCATTAGATTCTTATAGCACAAAGCCTTGTAAACAGTGCATGTGAGGGATCTAGGTTGCAAGATCCTTATGAGAATCTCATGCCTGATGATCTGTCACTGTCTCCCATCACCACCAGATAGGACTGTCTAGTTGCAGGAAAACAAGCTCAGGGCTCCCCTTCATTCTACATTATAGAATTATTTCATTATATATTACAATGTAATAATAGAAATTCAGTGCACAATAAATGTAATGCCCTTGAAACCCCCCTACCCTCCACCACCCCCACCCCACCGTCCGTGTAAAAACTGTCTTCCATGAAACCAGTCCCTGGTGCCAAAAAGGCTGGGGACCAATGTGTTAGTGAAATAACTTGCGTCTCCACCACTGGCAAAAAGCCCAGGGTCTGGGCTTACCTGCCGCTGCTGCAGTTGCTGCTGTTGCTCCATTTGCAACTTCTCGGTCTCAAAGACAACGGGAAGAACCAGGATCATAAAGGAAGTGGTCCCAATCCACAAGGCTGCCCTGGAAAACCTGTAGAGGAAAACCCCCAGAGGGTGAGCAGGAAGACATGCAAACAAAACAGGCAAGAACTACTCAGTAACCAAACCTCTCACATTACATACTCCAATGGTTTTTTTTTCTTTTCTTTTCTTTTCGAGATGGAATTTAGCTCTTGTTGCCCAGGCTGGAGTTCAATGGCATGATCTCGGCTCACCGAGGCAACCTCCACCTCTCGGGTTCAAGCAATTTCTCCTGCCTCAGCCTCCCGAGTAGCTGGGAACACAGGCGTGTGTCACCACGCCCGGCTAATTTTGTATTTTTAGTAGAGACAGGGTTTCTCCATGTTGGTCAGGCTGGTCTCGAACTGCCGACCTCAGGTGATCCACCTGCCTCGGCCTCCCAAGTGCTGAGATTACACACGTGAGCCACCCCGCCCGGCCCTACATACTCCAATGTTTTGATAAACGTATTCTACCCGCTCCTTGCACCATACTCCTACCAGAGACAGGAGGAGCAGCTGTGGTAGCTGTATCATCTAGTGATGGCGGTTTAACATTCTCCTCAGTTCTTACAAAGCTCCTTATTCATTAATTATCTCCAACAATCTGAAATAACCCCCACAACGCCCCTGCCAGGTAAGAATCCCCATTTTACAGAAGAGGAAACTGAGACTCAGAAAGGATAGGGTACAAGTCCAAGGTCACCCAACACAGGTCTGCTGCTTCCAAACCCCGTGTTCTTTCACAGCACCACGGTCATCCCATGCACCTACCCAATGCCTTTGCCCTCGTTCCTTACCTGTACATTTTTTGAGCCACAAAGAGGGAAAGATCAAAAGTGGCTCCGGCCGCGGACCGGACCCTCTCCGGAAACATCTCCGTCAGGCCCCATAGTCTCTCCGACAGGGTCTCATCTAGCTGTGGTGGAGAAGACACGGGTCTTAGCCGAAAAAGCGACATCCATTCCTGGCCCCGCTGCGGCACTGGAAGCCGCCGAGCCCCACTGGAGCTAGGGCACCCCAAGGCCCAGCGGGGCCCCAACTCCGCCTCCCAAAGAAGCCGCTTCGCTCCGATTCCGTACCACGCGGATCTCACATCCACGAGCTGGCCCGCTACCCGCTCCGCACCCCGCGAGGCCCTAGTACCTCCTCATCGTCGTCCTCCTCCAGCTCCTCCTCAGGCTTCTCCGCGTCGCCTTTCGGGAGCAATTCGTCCGGGGACTGGGGTTCCCCGGCACCGGCAGCAGCAACGGCGGCAGCCATGACTGTACGGGACACCGGAAGCGGAAAGGAGGTGAGCGCAGCCGAACGACGGACGGAGCTGCTTTTCCGGGAACCGAGGCGCGAGCCGGGAGAGAGCGGCGCCCTCTAGCCCCGGGTCCTCCAGTGCCCCAGTCGGTCGGGCCGCCCTGGCCTTACCCGGGCGTTGGGGCTTCAGCGGGCATTAGCAGCAGCTGGGAGGCCTGTGAGAGGTTCGGGGCGCCACCGCAGTCATTCTGTTCAGCGGGTTTAGGGTGAGCTCAGAAACCTGCTTTTCTTTTTTTCAAATGAGTTGTTTTAATTCCAGGTAATAGAGTTCAGAGAACAAAGATGAAAGGGCTGACTCTGGCAAGATTCTGGGGGCTTGTTTTACTTTAAATTCACAGCTAGGGCAGGAGTGGCTCATCATCTCTTGATGATGTATTTTCTTTTTAACAAAAGTTTATTCTTAAATGTACAACAGGCTCCAAGACAACACTTTATTCTAAACTAGGTGGCCAAAGATGTGGCCGGGAATCGAGATGTTAAAACACGAATGGAGTCAGGCCCGCCATCACCGCAGGCACAAGAGACAGTGGAACAGGTCGCTTTTTGTCAGATTTTAGCTCTTTTTTTTTTTTTTTTTTTTTTGGTTTTGAGACAGAGCATTGCTGTGTCGCCCAGACTGGAGTGCAGTGGTGTGATATCGGCTCAAAGCTCCGCCTCCCAGGTTCAAGCGATTCTCCTGCCTCAGCCTCCCGAGTAGTTGGAATTACAGGCGTGCACTACCACGCCCCACTAATTTTTTGTATTTTTAGTGGAGACAGGGTTTCACTATGTTGGCCAGGCTGGTTTTGAACTCCTGACCTCAAATGATCTGCGCGCCTCAGCCTCCCAAAATGCTGGCATTACAGTCATCAGCCACTGCGCCTGGCCTATATATATTTCTATATTATATATAATAAATATTTTATGTGTGTGTATGTGTATATGTGTGTATATATGTGTATATGTATATGTATACACATATATACACATACACACACACATACACATATATATAAAGACAGGGTTTCACTATGTTGCCTAGGCTGGTCTCGAACTCCAGGGCTCAAGCAATCTGACTGCCTCAGCCTCCCCAAGTCCTGGGATTACAGGCCTATGCCCCTGCGCCCTGCCTTGCCAAATTTCTTAATTCTGCCTGTGGCCAGGGCCAAAGATTTATCTTCCTTGTCCATCTCCTTGGCCTGCTTCTTGGGTTATTTTAGGGGTGTTCTCTGCCACCTTCATGGACAGGGCGCCTGCAGCCCCTTCCCCAGACCCTGGCTGGAAACCTGCATTTTAACAAGCCTCCCTGGAGTCACCCTTTGAGAGACACTAATCCAGTTTCATTTTCCTGAGCCATGTGTTACTTGGTAGGAATTAGTGTCTTGGAGGTCTTTTGGGAAAACATCAGGTCAATCTCCCCAATGTACCAAACAAAGGTAAGAGTTAACACTTAAATACCAGGTGCTGTGGTGCCTGTGGGTGTGGGTGGGTGTGGTGTGTCCTCATTTAATCTGCACAGCAGCTCACTGGGGTAGGCACTGTTATCCCCATTTTAGAAATGAGGAAACTGAGGCATAGTACATAGATCTGTTTTTTGTTTTTTTTTTTTTTTTTGAGGCGGAGTCTCGCTCTGTCACCCAGGCTGGACTGCAGTGGCGCTATCTTGGCTTACCGCACGCTCCACCTCCTGGGTTCACGCCATTCTCCTGCCTCAGCCTCCCTAGTAGCTGGGACTACAGGCGCCCACCACCACGCCCAGCTAATTTTTTGTATTTTTAGTAGAGATGGGGTTTCACCATGTTAGCCAGGATGGTCTCCATCTCCTGACCTCATGATCTGCCCACCTTGGCCTCCCAAAGTGCTGGGATTACAGGCGTGAGCCACCACGCCCGGCCCATAGGACATAGATTTCTAGTAAGTGGGTGAGCTGGTCAGAAAGTATGCAGATATAAATCTTTGTTTGTTCATTTTTGGGATGGAGTCTTGTCTTTTGCCCAGGCTGGAGTACAGTGGCATGATCTCAGCTCACTGCAACCTCCTGGGCTCAAGCGATTCTTCTGCCTCAGCCTCCCAATTAACTGGGACTACAGGTGTGCGCCACGACGCCTGGCTAACTTTATGTATTTTTATTAGAGACGGGGTTTCACCATATTAGCCAGGCTGGTCTCAAACTCCTGACCTCAGGTGATCCGCCTGCCTTGGCCTCCCAAAGTGCTGGGATTACAGGTATGAGCCACTGCTCCCAGCCTCTGTCATATACTTTCATAATAGTACAGTAAATGGAAGTGTCCTTGTCCCACACCCTCCCCAGCATTAAGTGTTATCCATCTTTTTACTTTTTGCCTATATGATGGATATAAGTGCTTCTTTTTAAAACGTGCCCCATGTTATTAAACAGGGTAATTTGATAAACATGTTTAGCCAACTGAACCTGGAATCAGAGACTTCCAGGATGGGACAGTTCAAATCCTTCTGTGATACATGAGGATGAAGAAATGAGTGTTTCTCCTGTGTCTCACACTCCCTCTGATACTGTCCCCGGGCCTCCCTTTCATCTTTGGACAGGGCAACTCTATCAAACAGTTTTTTTTTTTTTTTTTTTTTTTTTTTTTTGAGATGGAGGCTGGAGTGCAGTGGCACAATCTCGGTTCACTGCAACCTCTGCCTCCCAGGTTCAAATAATTCTCCTGCCTCAGTCTCCCTAGTAGCTGGGATTACAGGCATGAC